TTACTTAAACTTGCAAACTTTTCCATGGGTTCTGATTCTGGCATCTGTCCATTAACTTGCGCATATGCAGACGTGATGCGTTTCTTGGAAATCTCGTGGATCATATGTAGTTCGGTGAAGAATTGGCCTTCGAAATTATTGCTTTGAGTGTCATGCACTGTTTCGGGCACTCCGTATTGGCAAATCCGGCAATTAAAGAAACTAAGGCAATCAATTCGTAGTTTTCTGTCCTCGTGAAGTGGATTACCATAATACAATATATACCATTTCCTCCTTACCATGGCCTGTGAGGGACCTATGCCTACCCTCACTACCGGGAAACTTACAGGCATGGATCGGAGTGGTGCGATCACTGCGAAGCTGTTGTTTTAAGCCAGGTCAGCGAGTGCTAATGATGATTTATTCTTACTATGAAGCTCTGCTCCATCATGTGATGTCTGGAATGTTTGACCATTTTGATAAAGTTGAACGAATCAGATTAGGTTCCAAATTTGTGTCCCGATCGCCTGTTAAATTTGGAACTTGTTTAGACGATGATGTGTGTTTTCACTAACATAGTCCATTTGCGAGAGTGAACCACTCAAGCCTACATCACCGGCTCCAGTATCCAGTGCAATTGATAGAACACTTGTTCGAATTTGGTAATGCTGAAAACTGCAGAGCAGAGCATTCGCTTCGGTTCTTTGCATCTTTCATTATACCTTTTCCCCCACTTGAAATTCTTCTTCCTGTTTTTTCGTCAGTGTATGCCGAGGGCTTATGACCTTGTCTGGCCTTAAACCAAGCGCGTATTAACCTGCAAAGCCTGGGAACCCACGGAGTTCTATCTGATTTGACAGTGTTGGCCACGACCTCATTTGCCTTGTGAGGCCTTTGGAAACAGCCTCCCCCTCTTCCGAGAGAGGATATCCTAAGGCTTTGCCCGGGAATTGCAGAAAGTTACAGTTCTTTATGCTTTGGGTCAAATCTGTATCTCAGAGACGGTCTGCTACGAATATAAAGTTGATGTTATGCCCGCTAATATCCCTATCGAAGGTAAGAATGTTGTCCAGGCATATTATACAGTGTTTTGGAAATAACCTAATTTGAGTGGCTTGCCTAAGGTATTGGGCAGTGGTTGCTGCGTTACAGACTAAAAAGCATCTATTGCAATCTGTTAAGTCAATTTGGCAAAGATAAAACTGTCTTCTCTCTGTCCGTTTCTGCCGCTTCTACTTGTCAGTTTCCCGATTTTAAGTCCAATGAGGAGAGTTGCCCTACCCGATGCAGAGAGTCTAACAGGTTGTTTACATAGAGAAGTGAGAAAGCATCCTACACTGGTATTGCATTTACTTTGCCTTTGACCATCTCTCCAACTAAACGGTTTACTCCTAGTAGAAGAGGTGGCATATGTCTGGGTGGTTGTCAGATCGGTCAAGGCTCGCCGACAACTATTGTATGTTCTACAGTGTATGCTCTTTCCACCTTAACATCCTACCATGAGAACATATTCCCATACTCAACACATAGATCTAGGAGTTCTTTCCTCTCAGCGTCGCTCGCAGAGGTGGTTTGGGATGTTCATGGGGATAGCTGCAACTTTGGATGGGGATTACAAATAGCATCGAAGTCTGCTTCTTAGAAAAAGGACTTTTGAGGCCTCAGTTTCTTGGTACGTGGAAAAGCTGCCTTTTGCAAGATCTAGAACTGCTTTGGTGGTACGTAGGAAATTGGCTGCAAGAATTGCGTCTTGAGGCAATTCTATTTATATAGAAAATTTTACTCTCCTGATTTTCTAGCCTGTGATGAGATATAGTGATATCACACCGCAATAGCTCTTCCCGGATGGATGACTGAATGAGTACCTGTTTTGAATTGAGTTCGACTGGCGAGGAACTTATGTAATGTCGATGGCCGTTCGGTTTCTCCAAATTCCGGTGGCTAAAGCAACAGTTTGTTGCCATCTTTTCTAAAGCTCCTCATCACACTGTCTTCCCTTCACATCCTTCTTCATCCCTGGATGATTTCTTGCAAATTCTTGATGACTACTTGTTCCTGTCACATTCACTTCCAATTTTTTTCTTTTTACTCAGTATCCAAACCACTCCGAAAGGAAAGTAAAATGGAGAAAGGAGTGGCTTGTTCGGGACTAGGTCTTGTCAAGGATGTTGAAAAATGGAAGGTTAATTGACACGGTGCACTTTGATCAACGTGGGAAATTATGCATTCTCACCCGTTTCTGTGATGCCCCAGTTCACCTGGCTGTCGGAAAGGAAAAACATGGACCTGGACCACGAGGCAGACAAGTGGAGCAGAGGATATCAGTGAACATACATGCGTACATAATCGAGGTGGCTTTGGCCTAACGACTCGAGGAGAAGTTGTGCATCCTTACCATTTTCCGTGGTAGACCAGTTGTATAGACTGCATAAAAGGCCGATGGATGAACATAGGCAGTTGAGTAAGTCGAAGCTCAGCTATCGAACGAACAGCAAACTAATAACAGATCGACGTGCCCACCTTCCCTTTCAAGAGTACATTGAGAGGAGAAACTAAACAAGTGGGGCCTGGGATGAGCTGAAGAGGTGGAAAGGAATGAGAAACATAAGTGCTGGCATATAATAAGGTTAGAAGCAATGGGAGATAAAATGCGGTCATCAGTAAAGTGTAGTGTAGTCTAATCTGCATCCAACATGGCCTACAGCATAAATCATGACTGCGATTGAGGCACCGAGGCAAGGATGCATGTGGATAAGGGAGGAGTGGATACAGACAATGACAGACTGATGGGACTCACCAAAATAACATTGGCGAAGAATGTTCCAGAAGGAGGAGGAGGAGATAGAAGAGAAATAAATTCGGCTCCGGAGGATGTCAAAATGAAGAAACCAAATAAGAGGCGGAGGGGGAAGCAATTCTGGCATTACTAAAATGAAACGAAGGAAAGTTAGTGCATGGGACTGCATTTGTCTACCGAAATCTGTTGAGTAAAATAGAGAGGTGAGTCAGGGTAAGGTCCAGTGATGCATTGGGAGAAGAATGAGATGATCGCAGCAGTGGCATGGAACTGGAATTTGGGTACGAAAGAGGAGACAGGAGGGCTGCACGTCTTTTGCCGATCCTAATATATCACTTGGTCCCATTTGACCTCGGCATTTTCTAGCCGATTCCGAGTGGCAAATGAAGCAACGCTTGAACGATGGGGCATGAAAGCAGCCTTAAACATAAATATTCGACAAAACAGCTGAGTCTAGTCTAGCCAAGCCAAGCCTAACCTAGCCTAGCTTAGTTTGCCACTTTGCTTCTACAATAGGTAATGATACTGAATAAGTAATTGTGGCCCAGTACGTCTACTGCTGAGTTTAGGTTTGCAACGTGCAGTATGAAGTGGCATAAAGCCGACCGTGGTACGAATGAAGAAAACAAAGCTGCAAATCGCCCCTACTGTTACTAAGGGACCGGAAAAAGTAAGTCCTTGATCAATCATCCTATTTCCGTGTCTGCATAAATGGGGGGTGACTCAACCACACTGAGGGAGGCGAAGAAGGTAATTCGTTTAGCTAAAAGAGGAAAAGGAGTGGATGAGTAGGAAGGGAAGGAATGGGAAGGGGATAGATAAAGGGGAAAGGAATGCAAGAAAACAAATTGATGCAAGGCTATGCTGCCCATGCACAGAGTGTGAGTTAATTTTATACATTTTGATGATGCAGTGCCGCTTTCTTGATTTGTTCATTTCTTCCACCAGTACACCCATTTATTTAATCAGTTTTTCACCTCTCTTTATCCACGCAGCAACTGCAAACACGGGTCAGGAAACTAGGTAGAATAAATGTTAGCCAGAATGAACAAGAAGTTGGCGCGCTTACCGTGGGCACACACATCTCTTTTTACATGTCCATTTAAAAAGGCTACCACCTGAGACAGTGGTTGGGATAACGCACGCAAACAAGGGAGGGGAAATGTAAGCGAGAAGAAAAGAAATAACAAAGAAGAAAAGGGGGAGAAATGTTACCACTTCCGCCTAATTTTCACGAATCTTACCCGTTTCCAACGCTTCGGCCTTTTGACGTACCTGGAAAGAGGAGAGAGATGAGCAGAAGTGGCACTGAAGTGGTAAGGACAAATATAATTGCGGAAGAGATCATAGGGCAGAGTAATAGGACGAGATTCACAGCGGTGGTCAGCATGTCTCGTGTCATTGTAATTGAAATCTTTCCCATTGACCAGTGTATGATACGATCACATCACCTTCCACATGTAGTGTCGCATGATCAATGGTGTCGTGTCTATTGTCCAAAGAAATAACAGTTGTATTGGTTTTGATGTGGCACCTGTATTTATTTTTCATTTTATCTCTCCTTTTAGGCTAAATATCTAACATTACAGAACTCACTGAAGAGAACTATTTCTAATATTCTTTGATTGAGAAGAGAATATGTGTTTAGTTAGCACTTGTTTAACCCCACATGCTAAAATACTCAAGCTCTTCAGTCTACAGGACTCCGCCTTTGGCTTGAAATTTCAATTTAGGTTTGATTTGTGTCTGAGATTTTGGACGTTGATAAGATGTTTGATTGTAGCTCTAACCAAGACCATGGCCACGGCTTTGCAGTTTTCTATGATTCGAGAAGAAATCTTATTATGCCTTCCTGCGTCCTATCATACTCAACAGAGCGACCGAGCGAAGCGCATCGATGAAAAATGAAATGTGCTGGGTGGTTGGAGGACGCGAACTCCACCTAGAAGAACGGTTATCCGGATAACTTTGGCGATTTATCAGAGCATTATTTCTAGGAAGAAGCCATATACCGCGTGCCCTTCTCCAAATCTTTTCATCCTCACCTATTACAATAAATCTGAAGTCAGTTTGCAGTCGAGGAGACTTGAGATGTTAGTTGAGCAACCGCGATGGCCCTTTAAAGCAGTTTAATTATCCAAACTATTACATCCTCGCAAAGAGCACTTTTGTCTGCGTTCAGCAAGTCATCACTTAAGTGACAAGGAAATACGAAGCACAACCCAGTTGGTGGTGAAATGAGTGCGGGTATAAGTGAGATGCGAACAGATTCAGCCTTAAAATTAAACTTGTGATCAGTACAAGCTGAATGGATCCATTTTAAAAAATTTGTTGTCAAACTGTCAGTACACTTTGAACGCAAGTGCAACATAACAAAACACTGTTTAGCTCAATTCTTCAAAAGATCAAATAGCATTTAAAAGACTTCTTTTAAATGCACGCAGTTGTTAATCCACTGAGTTGTGGTTACGGATTTGGAAAAAGGTGGTTTTTGAGTCTAAAATGCCAAACCCAGGAACAAAGACCGGAATTAGCGATATTTGGTTTGACAGGAATTGGTAGCATCTTGCAGGATTTTGGCAATTCAACCTTTAAAATTTTGTGAGAGGAATAGATCTACATTCATTCCCTTTTTATCCATTTAAGTAGATCATCCTTGTACGATTTGTGGATCATTGATGGAAAAATTGGTTGCAAAAGTGGAGGGTAAATTTTGTCAACTTTCTAGATTGCAACTAGAGAAGTATAATCTTATTTCATAAGGGAAATTGCAGAGAACTATTGATGATAAAAATGATGGACAAGTGACCTAATGAAAAGTAATTGGCATATGAGATTTATGGTCTACTTGTTCCCCAACTTCAAACAGCGTATTTTAAATAGGTTTTCAAATGCACTTTGGCAACAAAGAACTCGATTGATAAACTCAACTCGAATCTACTAGCATTGGAATGTCTCTCGTTATGTGAAGAGATGGTGTAAAGTTTTATACCATTCAAACACTAATACGATGGCCAAAGAGCAAAGTATTCAAAGGGACCGCTGAAGATAACAAAGATCATGCAGTAACAGTGGTCTCTTTACAAGCGAACATGTCTGGCCATGGCGTTGGTGACAAAACTGTGCTACTAGTCTCCCAACTCTCCTTCATATCGATAATGAAGCCCCATAACGGCGATGGCCTTTATAAACCCTTTTTACCCTCTGCAGTTGTGTCTGTGAGGATCTGCAACAGAAGAGTTGTTGATTCTAATCAATGAATCTAAATTGACTGCAAGAAAATAGCTTTAAAACTATGTTTGAAAGTAACGTTTTGTTAGGCCATGATCTGACAACTAAAACAGACTAATACAGGAAGGGGTTCTGCGAAAAATAAGTAGCCAAGTTATTCTTACACTCAAAAACGTGATGCTATTTTCAAGGGTGTGTCAAACTCTGCAAGAGAAGTAGAGGGAGGGGGAGAAACCCACCCTATGACGAGATGGGAAGTGAGGATAAGGATCAAGAGCGTAGGAGCGTATTTCATGGGCATTTAGCCATACGCTTCATTAAATGCTCAGCTTTCTCAATGGTTTATGCTAATGTGGTCATGGTAGTAAGACAGCTGGACTTCCTTATTGAAGTTGTTTATGGACTCAAGTTTCTTTTCTCATTGGGTAATAGGTGACTTTCCTTGAGCATGATTGCGCCTGCTGTACAATGCCTGTTTCTGTAGACCTTCGAGAGAACGCTTTGTGGTAAGCATTTAATCCGCATTAGTTTCTGTTTCGCCACGAAATTATTCCACGTGTAAACATATGAATAACAGGTTAAGGTTTGACACTTGGGGGCTTCATTTGGACCGGTTCTCTTAGAAAATGCTTCTAATGTCACAGAATGTGTTGTTAGTAAAAATACTGTGACCATCGTCCCCTGCGATGCAGGCAACCTCGGAGAGGAACAGACTTGAGCACATCCCGTAGAAGAGAATGGTGCTTCTAATACACTCGAAAGATGTCGGCTATATTTGTATGGTAATGTCTCCTGTCACCACTTGGAAATTATTAAAACAGCACATATTATTGAATTCTTGGCGAATATTTTAAAAAACAATGACAACAAAGGTGTGCTTTTGCCACTTTACTACTTAGGCAATAAGTTTGTTCGACATCAGATGCGTTAACAGAGTTCCACCATTCAGTTCCTTTGTTTTCGAAATAGCCATTGCTTACTGAACTTGACCTACTGAAGTTACTAAACACCCATGGGTGATACCTACTCCCAACTCATGCAGTAATAAATGGATAGCGCTGAGACACATGGAGAGATAAACAATCAGTCCATTAGGTTACAGTCTTACCGAGTGAAGACCCTGCACCAAAACCTACCAGAAGTAGTTAAATGAGAGATTGATGAAGCACATAAGAGAAATATGCAAAATTCTTCCTCAGCAGAGGCGACCACTGAAATTGCGTGGTGTTCACGTGGTTGAATAAAAGCCGACCAATAGCAGTAGAGCATCCTAAGTCGTGGTGCACGATGGGAAGAGATTGCCACTAACACAGCCACATATTAGCTAGACTGCACCAGTCCCATGACAGTGAGACCAATGAGTCAGAAGACGCAGTTCACGTGGTGGATGGGCGTTATACGCAACCTTGGATAACACAACATCTAACCTCCTTGCAAGTGAGTGTTCCTATTACCTCAAGAGATGGCATAAACTGCGCGATTTCCATCGCCCCAATTGACTGGGTCTACAAGAGCGTGGATTTTGCTTATCTGTAGTTGAAATGCATCTTTGAAATTGCGGAATCAACAGATGGATGAAAAGGAGTGGATTTTAACTACTTCAGACGGGTTGAGAAGAATTGGAAGGATGTAAACCTGAATGGGGAAAGGGAGGGAATTGGATGAATGGATGAAAAATGTTGATAGATGGAGAAGGCATGCAGCAGAAGGAAGACCTCACCTTGACAGAGATAAATGATTGAGTAATTGAACAAACGCCCAAAAAATAACGTGCATGTATACAATTGGACTATTGCCAAAGGTAAATGACAAACGCTTAATCAAATTGCTAAGCATTCTTAAAAGAGCTGGACACATTTATCTAGGCATAAAGGATCTGTTTCGTTCTCCCTTGTAGACTTCTTCCCCATGACTTCTGTGCTGCCAGTCAAGAAATTTTAGTTCAACATTATTGAAGATGACTAATTGAAAGGCGCAAAATAAACTCATGATGATACAATATTGAGGTGTTTACCGTCGCTTCCTGAGTCCATATGGTCACTTATCTTATCAGTCGAAGAAAAGGAAGATGCTATAGTAAACATTGGGTCAGATAGATTTTAAGTAATGCCAGCATTGTGGTTAACGTTCTTGAATAACAAACGGTGTTGCTAGTTTGCTATTTAAATTGGATGAAAGCAGGGCTTTTACTACCTGGACATGTGTGTAGTGCCATTTTGTGAACTTCTATTGCAAAAACACCGAATTTTGGTACATTAACTGTGAAATAGGCTTGATTTTCTAATGAAAATACAATATATGTGTTTTTGTGTGCACCTTTTTAAGTATGCGCCTAGAATGTATCCCTTACATAGGAAAGGCTGTTGATAGTTATCTGAGTAACAAAATGGTGCGCTAGTGTGATATTAGATCCAAGCTTACTGGCAGGTACCGAAAGCCACTCTGCCCTTTCTGGTGCGTGAATTAATGTGGTTCAAGTGGGTTGCTAATACCTCCGCTCTAACCCATTGGTCACTGGTCGGTTGCAAACCAATCACAGCAAAAGTCAAGACACTTAAAAACGGCCGCTTTTCACCACCAACAATGATCTGTCTTAGTTGAATGACTTGCAAATGGTCAACAAAACCACGGCACTCAAAGATGAAACTAAGGTGGAGGGTTTGGTGTTTTTAACGGGATATCCTCTCATCATGGTGCTGAGTCACCTGTGGACAATGGGATAGAAAAAATTTCTGAATGCAAAAGTAAGTAACTGCTTTGTCAAAAAAATCTTTTAAGGAGCACATGAAAACTTGAGGACTCAAGTAGGGGTTTAGAGCAGATGGGAGTGTTTGATCATAATTCCCACCAAGATCACATCTTTTACTACTTTGATGATTTTAACGACACTTGATTTATCTGTATAACCTAGGAATGCTGTCTGCCTATGTGGTCATCATCACTTTCATCACTTAATTAAGGCGCCCGCTGAGTGTGCTAGACATCAGCATTCACTTTGCCTAAAAATCCGATCCACGAAACCACGTCTTTGCACTCAACATTTTTGCCTATTCCCTCGCACACTGTGGAATTGATATTAAAACTGGAGTTGTAGTTTTGATCTAACCAGTAGAAAAAGATGTCACAGCAAAACCTTCTGGTTAAAATCCCTCGCGATATTGAGTTTTTGATTCCACAGAAGATGTTGCTGTCATAATATCCCTCAGATGGTGGAACCAGTACCGAAGTCTAGTACGAAGGTGCGTCTAGACCTTTTCATATGCTCCTTTTTTTGGGACAGTCCATTTGGCAGCTAGTCTGTCCAAGAGCACGACTTTTGGAACCCTGGTAAGCATAGTTCGACTTATCGCTGACTGCAATTAATTTACTCCTTTGTAGCTTACCGCACTCCCATTTTTATGACTTTTGTAGATATATCTCTGAAGCCATTCTTCGGTTGGTGACACAACAATAGATGTTAACAAGGATATTTCTTCTCATCGTAACGCATTTACAATTCAACAGTGCCTCTAAACCCCATTTGGTTAAAAAGCGCTTGGAATAATTCAATTTATGCTTTGCTGTAGGCAATGTCGAAATCAAAAAGTACTTGCGCATGCATTAAAATAATGCCTTATGATTCGCTCTCATGTGGTACTGCTATATATCATTGGAGTGGAATTATATTTCAGTCTATGCGTGACGAATTTCAATTGTCGTGAGAGGATTGTAGTCACAACATTTCTTCGAACATCAGTGACGCTACGCTCGCCTTGGGACTGCGCAAAGATAAAAATACTGC